CTCTCTCTCTCTCTCTCTCTCTCTCTCTCTCTCTCTCTCTCTCTCTCAAATAAATAAAAAAAATTTTTAAAACTTATTATTTTCTCCTAACATGTCTTTGTCTATTTTTCCAAAGCAAACTCTGAGTGAAGATGGAATAATTGCTCTAAAGACTTTAGGTAGAATCTTTTGAGAAAAGGTGGCAAAGGAGAGGACCATGGGGGCAGCGTGGCTCTGACCAGAATGAGGAAGTTATACTCTGTGATCAGAAACACGAGGACAAGGGCACCACTACACACAGTCCAGCAAAGACTTATTTATGGAAATAGTGGAGGTAGAGTTAATGAATCAATAAACTAAATTTGTAGAACATTTACTTTGTGTTAAGAACACTATGAATTCCAAGTGCAATATCTCAAGTAACCCTCTCAACAATGTAAGGTAAGTTCTATGTTTGTTCTCCTTTTACACACGAGGACCAGAAACACAGGTGTGATAACTTGTCAAGGTCATGGAACCAGTAAGGGGCAGAATTGCCATTCTCATGTAAACACTTTGGCTCCAATTCTAAGCTCCTAACTCTCATATGATACTGGCTTTCTGGTTAATAGGTGAAATCTAATTTTTAAAAATACGAGATGAAAACTATAAGTGAACAATAGCCATAAATGGCAGAAGAATCTCATAAATGTTATTGTTTGACCCAAGCAACATAGACTCTATAAGCCACATGAAGGGTGATCATTCTGCTCTTGTCTTAGTTCTGCTCACTGCCTTTCATGACAAGCTTTGCTGTTGCTGTTGTTTTCCATAATAAGTCATGATCAAGAAAAATGTTTCTGAGCAGTGATTCATATTGGATGTTTGAATCACAGAATTTGGGATATGAGAGCAAGATGGAATTTTAAAGATCACATAAGGAAAATGAAGACTATCAAGAGAAGAAGCTTAGCCAAGTGCACAAGCCCAGAACTTAGCATTGTGAAGATTAGAATCGGGTTGGACTAAATACAATTGGGAAAACAAATATAACTCAAGTGAAGTTTTTAAAACTATAATAACATCTCTTTTATGAATAAAAGTGCACAGAGACTAAAAAATCCTTCAATTTTGTGTATTATGGATTGAAATATGTAATCTTATGGTATTGCGCTTTTTCCTATTATATGTTTTCATTTTATTGGTTAATATTTACTAAGTCTTAATTTACAGTTCTGAGAATATCAACAATTTAGATTCTGATACATTGTAGTGTCAATTACATCTTCATTAGCTGAACAAGTTTATGCATAGTAGTATTTTGATACTAAAAAATTTATAGAATGATGTGTATATATGCCAAAGTTCCTATTCTCAATGCTAAATTCCACCATGATTTCTGATACCTATCAAGACTAATGCTAGGAAATATCCCATGGCAGTCCCCTGGGATAAGAATGGTGGCCTCTAGTTGTTGCAACCTCAACTCTTCTGAAAGTATTCATCTGTTATCAAAATGACGACTATGAGCACAGGAGGGTCCCGTTGTTTTTCAAAGGCACACATTACTTGGTAATAACCAGAAATTCCAGGATTCAAACTCAAGCCTGCACCCTCAACAAACCTATGCTCCTCATTACATACAAGAGGGATCTCATGCTCATTTTCAGCCAGCAGTCTTATGGCACTGGGCACGCTTAACAGTGTGACTGTAGGGCCAGGCGGATGGCTCAGTAGAATAAGTGCTTGTCTGGCAAGCTCAAAGGCCTGAACTCAATCCCGGGTTCCACCAAAAAAAACCCAAAAATCAAAACAAAAACAAAAACAAAAAAAAAAAAAAAAACAATGTGATCATGATTATGTAGGTTGCCCATTACAGTCACTGGTTCCATTCAACTCAAGCGAAAGCAAGCAATTAGTTTTCACAAAGTGCTCATGCAATTCAAAGACAAAAAGTGTGGTTTACAATAACAGATACAAAGATTGGCATACCATCAGGAAACAAGGCAGATATTCTCACTCTACCAGACCCAAAGCTCCACTTTTGTCCAGTTTTTTTTCTCAATGGCACTAACTTCAAAGGCTTTTCTCTATGCCTGGTAAAATCAGGTAGAGCCCTCATCACCAGCTTCCTTCTGAATTACCTCCCTGCTTCACAAGCATTGATTGAGCTTCCCTCAGACACCAGCCTTGGTTACGTATTAAGGAGCCCACCCCAGTTGGGGAGACCACTTTCCACCAGAGGCATGAGACAGACATCCAAACAATGGTGTAGAACAGCATGTCTTCATTTCCTGACATGGAACATGGGAAGACTGATAAAATTCGACTACACCTAGATATTAACTCTTTGTTTTTAGCACTGGGATAAATCAATTACACATACTATGACATCAAACCTTGTAATAACCCTATGGAGCAGAAAATGCATTGATTTTTAAGCATAATCAATGCGGCATTGACAGATTAAGTAACTTGCTCAAGAACGTCTCTTAGCAGACCTTGTAGTTCCACAATGCTCATCATTTTAACATTAAATATCACAGTTCAGTAGGGCTAGATTGAAAGATATATATCTATCTATATATATTCTTTTCATTTTACTTTGGGTCATTTTCCTTAAATCTGCAGTTTTCCTTTAAGTCTGCAGTTTAAACAATGACTCAATGATTAATTTAATTTAGACCATGTTACTATTTCATAAGGCAGGGCATGGCAGCAATGAATGATGAAAAGGTTACTGTGAAATGAGTCAGACATCCGTGGGAAAAGAGCTGAAAGCCCTCAATCTCGAAGCATGAAATGTGGAGTTTATGGCTAATAAGACAAAGAAAAGAAATATGAAACAATTCAAGCTACATTTTTCAAGTTTGAGAGACATGTTTATTCTTTCTGAGTTTATTTCTGTATTTTCATCACGTTATGTTGGTTTCTGCTCTGGACCTAAACAGGTTTCCCTCTTCAAACTCAGCACAGCCAAGAGTACAGTAGAAATGGGATTGTTCCCAATAAACAGAAAGGAATAGAGAAATGGTTAATTAAATGATTTTTATTTCCATACCGTATAATGAAAAGCTCTTCATTACTGGAGGAAAGTGTTACAAATTCAGCCAAGCTTAATATATCAGTAGTGAAGCGTCCATCACAGTTTCACTGTGATACACTCTTTCAACAGATTGGACTACAGAACCAAAATTCACTTTGCACCTAAGAACTATAGTTAAAAGTTTTTTCTTACTTTCTAAAAATGAAAATTATCATAGGAAGGCAGCAGTTATTAAATAAATTAAAAGCATCTTTAAAGTTTTTCCATATACATATTTTTAATAATTGCCATTCACTGTACAAGCATTAAATTCTCAGCTAAAACATTTACAGAAACTGGTGCGATAGGCTGAAGGAAAGTCTTAATTGTTAGAAAAGTGGGATCATTTTATCAATTGTAAACTACATTAAAATACAATTCTCAGGAGAGGACAAATTATACAGTCAGACTTACCCAAGATCACTTATAATTGCTTATTTAATCTTACACATCAGATGTGCATATTCTCCATTCAACAAGAAATCAATGTCTAAACAATTAATCTTTAACAGAGAAAAGCGAAAGCAGCAAGCCTAAGTTGAATAGTCTAATTACACAAAAAATCTTATGTCAGGCTGATGATAGTATTACTCACATCTGATTGCTATGAAAGTACCGAATGGGAAGTAAGAGTTTCACACAGAAATATGCACATATAAAACCTTATCTTAATAAATGATCATCTGTTAATATATAGCTAGGTGAATATAAAAATTAACCTGGAATACTGCAGTCCTGAGAGCTGAGGAATCCAATCTTCCAGTTTAAGTTCTACAACCTTGAATCGTATAAATTGCAATTATTTACAATGGTTATAACAAGGTATTCTTAAAATACTGTATTGACATTAGCAGTTCCTTGAGATGCATAGAACAGGTACTAAAGAAAGAATTCCCTTCTTAGGTAATGCAGTGTGTGTGTGCGTGTGTGTGTGTGTGTGTGCGCGCACATGCATGTGTGCGCACGCGTGTGCATAAATCCCACATTGGGGAATGGCTGGGGAAGTGTTTGGGAATGGGACATTTGCATGACTTAGAAAATGGTATTCATAAATGTAGTATTTCTTCTCATGCATACCAATTTAATATCAAGAAATTTATAAAAGACTATAGGAATTATATGTAAATTATTACCTAATAAACTGAGAAACAGGAATGTATTTAAAATTGTTTTAAATAAACGTTTATTAATAAAAATGTCAGTTCATTTGCTTCATCCTTTACTATTGAGTCTGTATTCTTTGGGAATAAAACTTTTTTTTTTTATTTAAGTCACTCTATTTCCTCAATCCAGTAGAAGTTTAAAAGATCATCCAGAAAATCCTAGTGAAGACCATTTCCATTGCACAAGCTTTTTCCTTGTTAGCAAATTTATCATATCAAGCACTAGGAAAAATAAACCTTAATTAGCTGATACTTTGAAATTTTTATTATTTAGAGGACACTTCTGCCACTGTAAGATTTAATCTGTAATAAGTAGTCACCGATTCATATTAAGAAAGGTAAAAGACATTTATTTGCATACAAAAGGCTGAGACATTTGATACTAAGAACTGTCAGGCACATCTCTAGGAAAAGCTAAATTAAGTATTTAATCATATCTACCAAGAAATAAGAAATGTTCTTCTCAAAAAACAGTATGACTAGGATATGGTAGCCTATCTGGCCTTTTTCTTTCAAATTTGGCTCTCTGTGCAAAATCGTATTAAAAATTAATTTCATCCCTCATCTCAGTTTCAATCTCTAACTTTATGCTAGCAGAAAAAAATTAACTGAAGGAAAATAAGTAACTTAGGCAGCAGAACTTTAACTCTGGAGATTTGGGTCTCCTCCAGGGTTCATCCACGCTCACACCAGTGCTTGTGTAATTCAAAAGCGGCAGAGAGTCTCTTTTCATGGCAATATTTAAAAAATACGTTTCCAGTAAAGTACCACTTAGATTATAGAGAATTCCACACTCACGTGCAAACACTGAAGTATAGGGTACTTGTGCATTTGGCCTATGACGGGAGACACTTGCCGAGTTTTCTATCTAACACTTTCTGGCCTTCAAGGCAAATGTGGAAGAAACAGCTTGTCAGAGAAGCCCAACACTTCCGTGCCTGCCTGGCTGTCCACCTCGAGCAGTCAGCCTCTTCATTTCACCCAGGAGGAAACTTAGGGCACGCGGTTACCGCAGCGTCTTTCGCAAAATCGAAGTTCAGCAAATTTATTTTTAAAGGTGCCTGAACCATCACAGAGACTGCGTGCAGAGAGGAAACGAAGTTCCGTCTCTTCTGGCTCTGCAGCGTCAGAACGGGCTGAGTTATTTTTAATTGCCTGGTTAGACTGAACTAAGATGAGGACCAACCAGAGAGGCTCCGCCAGAGCCACCTGTTGCCTCCAATCACTTCTGTTTCTCAAGTAAATATAGTGCATGTAAGATTTTGAAACGTTTTTCAAGGGCAAAAATATAATAAGAGGAGATCATTTTGACAAACGGGAGAGACTCAAGTGATAGTCTATATTCGACTGCCTTTCCTGGTGGGTGACTTTTAGTGAGTTTCACTAAAGCACAGATTTCATGATGGAGACAAGCACTTGGAACTACACAACAAAGGACACTCAGTCCATGACTGTGATTTAAACAGCCTCCAACGGACAACCTCCCATGAAGTTAAGGGATATCAAGAAGAGGAAAAAATTCAGGCTTCAAGAAAGATTTTTGAATTCAATTTGCAGAACAAATGAAAATATTTGTGGGAAAGAAGTACAGGAGAAGAAATGTATTTGATTTTCAAAAAGTGAGCTGCAGGTTCCCTTTTCTGGGGTGCAGTGAAGTGAAAACAAGTGTGTTTCCAGCGAAATGGCTGGGTGCAGGGGTAGCTCCATGCGTGCGCTTGGTTGTTTCTCTTAGTTTTGGTAATGGAATGGTGCTTACTAGAAAATGAAATTTAAAAAGAGAATCGTAAATAGACTGAGTTACAGAAGCATATTAAGTAAATCTTACAGGGGGCACAGGCACCTGACAGGTGAAAAACAGACCGACAGACAGACAGACAGACAGACAGACAGACAGACAGACACACACACACACACACACACACACACACACACATGCACTCAACACACATTGTTATGGAAAAAGGGTAAACAAGTCTCAGATCACTAAAGATAATTAAACATCAAACCTATTGGGTTATTTCGCATTTGATGAGTTGCTCAGGAATCTAACACAAGAATCCTACTTACGCAGACAGATAAATGATAAGCTATTGCTGTTTTTCCAATAGATTCTTAAGGCCCATTAAAAAAATAAATCAGTGTGTTCTCCAAAAGTTCTAAAAACAATTTGCTAGCTTTTTATGTACGATTAAAAAAGAGAAAAAGGTGTCCATGTTTACTAAAATCTTGCTTTTAGTTACATTCAAAGACAAATACAGTCCAGTTCTGTTTGCTGGAAGTCATCAGGCTATTTTCATATTCTCTTTTGACTATGAAAAAATCTTTCAGAACACAATGCATTGGCAGTGCAAAATTAAACAGGTTCATAAGAAATAAACTGATGTTTGAACGAGGCATCCGGATTAGCTCTTCGCCAGGTTATCTGCAGGCGCAGGAGTCGACTGTCATGTTAGGATAGACTTTGAGCACGACATTCTTATTTTCATCAAAAAACAAGATGCTTAGTGAGGACATCCTCTCTGGCACACAGCAAGGCTCTGGAATCCCAGGGATGACCCCCACCGCTCTCACTATACTCTGGATGGTTGCGTGATTGGATGGTTTCAAAGACTAGAAAAAGAAACAGGAGAAGAACGTTACGTGGAGCTGTTTGTGTGCTTCTCTCACCTTGTCACGTCAAATGCTTACATCTTCCTTTTCTCCGGACAGTCTAATAAGCAGTCTGGCATCTGTGCGACTGCACCTTCAGCACAACTTTCTACAGCACCCTTCACAAAACGGTTATCACTTATGAGGTACCTGCTATGCCCCAGGCCTTTTACGGAGGGTTCCTCTAAGTCTATGACAAAGCCACTATTTCTTATAAAGACTCAACAAGTTTAGTTTTTTTTTTTTTTTCAGGGTAGCCCACATTAGTAGCGATTCTCCTGATTTCTGCCTCCCAAGTGCTGGGATTACAGGCGCGCACCACCGCGCCTGGACTCCATCGCCGGCTCAGCGTGCCCGAAGGCGGGCCGGCGTGGCAGGTGGAGCCAGGTATTGAACCGTGGTCCCTCAGCTTACCTAAGCAAGCGCTTAGTCCGCTGAGCTATACCACCAGTCCTTCAAAAAGTTTAAATGGCTCGTGAGAAGTCAAGTCGGCTGTAAGTGGTAGAGTGAGAAATCGAACAGTTCTCTTGGCTTAAATCATTTAATTACAAAACAACTTTGTCTCCAACCATGGGATCAGTGAGTTCTAGATGTTTTCAGGAACGGCTGCAACAACTATAAGATAATTTGCTCTTGACATTATACTGATCATAAGGAACCCTGACAAGTGTCCTATTTAACAGAGACACATTAGTGCCACGTTTATAGTGATATTTATACTTGTATTATTAAAATAAAACTAATCAGGATGGGAGACTTTGTTTATTTATTTCACAGGTGCCAAGAGGATGAATTGGTTAGTGACCACTGTTCAACATTCAGAAACAGAAATTGGTGGTAAAAAGATCACAGCATTGACCACTAGGGGTCACTGTTGCTCCACAGGTTTAGACAAACACAGCAGCATTGTTTTCTAAGTGTAAACTCTGTCCCTAGAGAATAAACTCGGGGCCTACCATTATCCCACCGATGTCAGGAGTTTGACCAAAGGAACCTGGGTTAAATCTCTTCCCTGAGAAAATTCCAAATGGAAGCATTAACATCCATATGAAGCATGTGGTGTGATTTAGAATGCCTACTTCTCCTCTGTACCTAAAAACACTGGAGGATTGACGAACCCAGAATATTTGGAATTACTGGTGTAGTAAGAGGAACTCCATAAGAGGTACTGGAGTTTTCAACATCAGTTCTCCCCAATGTCTCTTTGCTGATGGAAACTATTACTGCCTTAAAACACATTTTAAAACAGGTATTTGGGGGCTATGGATGGAGCTCTTGGAGGATGTGTCTAGCATGTATGGGACCCTGGGATTGGTTCTCCATAGAAAAAGAAAATCCCTACCCAAAATACTTCAAATGGAAATTTGTAACTTGCCAGAGATCAAGTCAGGATAAGATTTAACCCAAAATTTTAACAGCAGAATTTAAGATTTTGAGCCAACTTTCTTGCGGCTCAGAGGCACCCCAGTGAATTGGGATATTAATTTCCAACCCCTGAAACTCCAGCGTGAGAAGCTGCAGTAGAAGGCTACAGGTATCTACAAGCTGAGGGAGAAGACCTGGGAAGCTCGACATATCGCGAAAACAAACAGATGAAAAAAGGTTCTTTTTGGCAGAGAAAGGGAAAGCCTGATTTGTCTCATCTCATCTTTCGATTTCAAATGTTATCCTTAAGATAGGCTTATTGTGAATAAATGTGAATAAATTTTATTGTGAATAGTGCTAAATATCTTAAAAAATTAGTCTTAATCACTGGCAATTGCTTTTACTTGTTCCTGGAAATGTAAAATTAATTAGCTTTAATCCAGGCTGCTTTATTTTGCATATTGTGTACCTTTTATTTTCAATATTTGTGTATTTTACACAAGCTGCGGTAATTGCACCGTACTGTAAGTGTGAATAGCCATTGCTTATTTCACCAGTCTTGGTAATCTCTTAAAAGAAACAAACCCCAAAATACTATATACTTTTTTCTATTAACTTAAAGTTATTCTGAAAACTCAGTTATCCAGCTTGTCGGAAACTCACAGAATATTCTTGAAGCTAGCACTTTCTGATGCAATTGTTATTGTTAATGTTTGCTGACCTCTAATATTTACATTTCAGGAAAGTGTATCTACATAATCAGCTGCGCTCCTCAGCAACAGATATGCAGCGCTTCGCCGTTCCTCAGTGCGTAGAACAGAGCAGATTCTGGAGCAACACTGCGAAGTGCATGAGGCGCTCCTAAGAAGCAGCATGCTGTCTTTCTTTACCTATTTCTATGGAAATAATTCCCATCAACAGGAATAAAACGCCTGCACAAACGACCTGGTGTAGATATGGAAAATATTCATGGGTGTTTCCTAGGAAAATTCCTGTCCTTAGTTCCAACTCAGACAAGATGGGCTCAGAAACTGAGTACAAGAGTAGTCTCCAGTGGGTTCCCGGAGTGCAGACGTAAGTGCTTGACTGGGGTCAGTGTTTCTTATCAGCAGCCTCTCGGATTGCTAGGGAGTGCCCCCTTTCTCCTCAGTGTGGAGTCCTCTGATCAAGCTGCAATTACCAGGAATAATTATGTCATGCACAGATGACCCATGCTGTAATTTGCTGGTGTGAAACATGCTGCCAATGCGTGATTTTTTTATTTGTTTTTGAATTCAGATCATGTTTCCCATGACTCTCTTTACTAAGCTGAAGAAATACAACAACCACAAATACAAATTGCTGCTCTTTCCCTTACCGATGTCTCTTTTTAAAGAGCGTGATATGTGTCTTCTATATCAACTCAGACAGCTTTATTTGGGTAACTGAGTACATTGAAATGTAATGTTTTTAGTGTTCACCTTCACATCTAGAGATTAGGGTTGGAAAATTGGAAACTCATTCAAGGTATATGATTTTGAGCTCCTTAAATGTGCTTTTCTTGGCTGAGGTGATAACTCGGTGGTCCAAGCACCTTCCTGGCAAGCGCAAACAACCGAGTTCAAACCCGGATACCACATGCCCTGCTGGCCCTGGTCCCAGGGCTGGGAGAGCTGGGACAGGAGGATCACTATGAGCCCACACTGCATAGCAAGACCTTGTACCAAAGAAACAAATTAATAGATAAAATATTTTTTTAAATGTGCACTTTTTATAGGGGATGCTTGGCTTAAAGTATTTCAGTTATTTGCTGCCTTATTTGATTGTCTTTGCAATTTCTACCTTTTGCATGATTCCTAACAACCATAACTTCATCCCCCTAATCCTTGTTGGTTTCTTGGATCTCTGTCAGCAACAATCGCTCAATCATTTTCATTTGAAATTTCTGTTTTCCAACTCTGCTAAGGTGGTGAGGGAGGCAAAGATATGGAAATTGGCTTTAGCTTGATGGGTATTTTTCATCTCATGGAAAAATTCCAAGGGTCTCTCTCTGGGACAACAGATTGGCTGCAAAGCCTAGAAATCACACAAATCCAAACTGCCGTGTCTGTGAATGAAATCTACAGTGGTTAGGCCTGCACCTGCCAAGCCGTGTGTGCTGTCCTCATGTTGAATTTGATTACAAATGCATTAGCAGGGGAGAGGATGTCATCGGCTGAGAGCCTTCATTCCTGACCCCAGCCATGAGGTTTCGCTCCTCACTCTTCCAGTCCAGCCCACATGGGTGTGATGGCCCAGAAACTATCTAATTAGAATCAGTGAAAGGGCAAAGTCTGGAATTTGGGAAAGGCAGAGCACAGCTGTTATGCATTACAGAGCAGGTTGTCGACTTTTGCAGACAAACAGCCCCATCCTATAGAGCAGGCTTTCTTTCATTCAGGGGGCCAAGAAGGGAGGGCCAACAGCAAAGTCTGGCCTGGGAGAGCTGCTCTCTGGGGTGAAATGTATATCTAAGGTCGGAAAGTTCTTTGGTGTTTCAGTTATTCCACGTGTCCTACTGCTCTGGTCAGAGACATTCGTTTTCCTGATGGTCAGAATAGAATTTTATTTAAATAGTTCTCTTTGGCTGCCACATTGAAGACTGTGCTGAAAGCAGAGAGGCTCAGTAATTGCCCTTTCCTTTTTCTTCATGTTTCCTATCCTTCTGGTTATGGGACTGTTTGAAAGACACAAAGCTTGGAAAGCTTTAAAATCTGAACAGATCTGTACAAGGTGATGAGAGAGGGAGAACTCTCCGTAATGGCCAAAGTTCAACTCTCAGCCTGGCAAAGGGAAATCTTAAGCCCAGAGACAAAACTCCACACATAGCCCTGGTATGCCTCACTGGAACTCTGAGGCCATCCCAGGTTTGGACAAATACTCTGATGACTGCAGTTTCTGCAATGCATGTACTCCAGGGACTACTGCTTTCTAGAGGAACTGCACTCAAGTTGCTCACTGGCTGCTGAACCCACAGGGAGATTCTCATTTTAGCTTTGTAACTATGGAAATCCATGTCATGGAAATATTTGCAAAACATTTTTGGTCTTACCATTGTTTTTTTCCCCTTTATGCCCCATAGTCTTTCTTTGGCCCCTTAAGTTTACGTTCTGTTTTCCTCAGTCTCCGCAATGGCCATGAATAATAACATCAATAATAAGTATTTAGTGATTATGTACTTACTAAATGTCAGGTACTCTACTGTCTCAACTGTCCACTCTGTTTATTATGTAGGTACTTTTATTTATATTGTTACCATTTCACCCAACTCAGAAAGCTAACATTTTGAGAGTCTGTGTAACCTATGCAAAGAATCAGAGATGCTAAGGGTGAAAACAAGACTCCAAGTAAAAGACTTTGGCTCTCAGTGTTGTGCCTCCAAGGACACTCTGTGCACCAGCACACCAGTATCACTCATTAGATAAGCACAACCTTAGGTTCTACTTCCTTATGCACTGGATCAAGAGTACACATTAACATGATCCTAGTCTGCAGGTAAGTTAAGGTTTAAGAAGCTTGGGGCCAGGGAGATGGCTCAGAAGAATAAGTGTTTCCCTGGCAAGTCAAAGGGCCTGAGTTCAATCCCCAGTTCCGCAGGGGAAAAAAAAAGTTTAAGAAGCTTGCTGTCCAGTGTACAGGATCTGCGTGGCAAGGGGGAGGTCCTAAGATCAATTTCTGGAACCAACAAAAGCCTGCTATGAGGAAGCATGTCTACTTAGTTATTCTGCTGCAAAAATCTACTCTTGTAGATTTAATTCATTTCTCGTTAGTTTGTTTTGATCGACTGATTGATTGGTTGCTTGACTGTAGTATAGGGCTTAAATCCAGGACCTTCACACTGAGTTATGTCACCAGATATTTTAATTGTTTTTTTTTTTAATTTTGAGATAAGGTCTTTGAATTCAAACTTGCAAGCCTTCTGCCTTAGAGCTCGCAGAGTGCTAGAATTGCAAGAGCAAGCTACTGCACTGGGCTCAGTTTTAAATTATCATTCTTTATATCCCTGAGAATCATGCAAGGCTCTTCTGAAATACCAGCTAGTTTGTGCAGAGTAAGACCAGGCAGAGCCAAGAGCAGAGGGCTGAGATTGAAGCAACTGTGGAGGGTGGATGATGAGCCACTGTTTTTTGTTTTTTGGTTTTTTTTTTTTTTGTATTTTAGGGAAGGGTCTACAGGGTGTTCAGAGTCTCGCTACTAGATCAGTCTTGTAGTGATCCGCTTGTTTACAGCCTCCCAAGAGCTGAGATTACAGGAAAATGCCACCACTTGCAGTCTCAACTGCCATCTCATCACACCCCAGGGGCAGGGCTGGCACAGCAGGCCCCGGGGGATTGACCCCAGGTCCCTGCACCTGCTTGCAGGCACTTTAATCCACTGAGCTATTTGGCCAGCCCAAGTCAGTGCTCTTGAGCTTGGAGATAACTAGAAAAAGAGCTGAGGGTCTCCAGGTAGTATGACTTGAGTATAAAGGCTGGAATGAGAAGGGAGGAGAGAAACTAAGCTATCCAGAAAAATAAGAACTTAAAAGAATGTGAGAGACTTTTGAAAACCCCACATTCCACTGTAAATCAGTCATCCTGGAGTAAAAAAGCTATTTTAAAAATTTCATTCTTGGTTCTCAATAGCACAAAATTTCATTCTTGGTTCTCTAAATAAAGATCCAGCTGTACTTGTTACACTTGCTGTCTCTTTTGTGTGTATCTTTTTAAATGTCTTCCCATTTTAATGACATATTTGTTTGATCAATTAACCGTCTTTTATGAATTTTCAGATGAGAGAAAGCTGTTTAGATGATTGCAAATACATCACTTATGTTTACAAGGCATGCGAACATCAGAAATCCTGGGGAATGACAAAGTCTTAGAAAATGTAGAACAATCAACTTTTTGAGGCATTCTAGTGGAGAAAAAAGGGATTTCAATGACATTTGTGGCCCCAAGGCCCCAAGCCTCATGCAGTCCACCAAATGATCCTAGATAGGACCAGCACTTAAAAATATAAAGGCCCCTAAGCAGAAACGGTCACTATCTCAGGCAAGGGATCTTTCTTCTCTCTTATAATACAATAACAAAATTAACTCAAGTTTGCAGAGAAATTTTATATTCTTTCTGTGAATTCTGTTCCTTCAGCCATTTTTCACTGTATACCATAGATTACAACTGCTTCAAGTTGAGAATACAAATACAGCAATAAGTATAATTGAAGGCTGGATAATGCCCCTAGATCTTACTCTAGCTTGAGCCCTCTACTTATGCTCCAATTTCAAGGAGAATTATCACCTGGACTTGCTGTGCAAGATGGAAGTGAGGGCAGAAGAAACTTTTGAAACTATACTTGTGAGGATACCGAGTACTGATATGATAGAATGTAGTCCCCATTGATTTTGGAAAGTATAGGCAATTTTTGAAAGGCTACAGTGGGCCTTGGAAGAAGTTGACGGAGTCATCATAACCCATCTTGTGTTCTTTTTTTGATATTTAGCAGGAAGGCAAATGAAATAAACATCTGATGGATATCATTAAATCCATTTACCTGTTCACCTAGCCATATCTTGACCCTGGGCTTTATGGGGACATTTCATTAGACAAGAAACTACTTACTAAGAAAGGTCCTGTAGCAGGCTTACTTCTTCCCTGCCTCCACAGCACTCACTCTTTTCCTGAATACCCTTCAAAGATCGGCCTCCTATCCTCTGGGGCTTGCTTATTGTGGACAGGTAGATTTACGCATGCCCACATTGCACAAGTTTGGAAGCAACACAACATGTGTATTTTATGTATCTTTTCTCATATTATTCATACCAATACTGACCTCATAAGACTTTAATAAATATGAAAGAAAAATCAAACATAACCATCTTACCTATTACACTTTAGAATGCAGCACGTAAGGGCCCAGATGCATTTTGTAAATAAAAACTCTCCCTCCCTTCCTCCTTTCCTCCCTCCCTCCCTCCCTCTCCTGTTTCTCTATCTTATGGAAATAGTAAGCACAGGGCGAAAATAATGTCTACCTTTGGCATGGGAAACTGGCATGCTCCAGAGCAATAATAGGCATCAAAAGACTTGGGGGAGATAATCCATTCACTCCAGCCAATGTCTGCAAAATCTACTTTAAGGTATCTCCTGGCACAATTCCGAGGTTCGATCCACTGCTTTCTCCTTGCCTTCTTAAGGGTCTGCTCATCAAACTGGAGAGTCTGGCTCTTCTGGTGAGGCCCTTTCCTCTGTTTCTTCTTGCTCTTGCTTTTCTCAGTGGGCTGTGTCTGAAGGGTCTTATAAGGCTTCCTTTCATCCCACACACCATCCTCCTTGTACTGATACTCTGCCCCAGGGAGCTCATTGTTCTGCAGAGGCAACAAGATCCCTGTAGACCGCTTCTTCCTCCGTTCGAAGGACAGAGCAGCTCTGATGTGGCTGTCCAGTTTGGGCACCACTTTCCTGGGGAAATTCCGGTGTCCCTGGAAGCTTGACACCACACTTTCTGGCTCAGAGATGGCAGCATCATTGGCATACACTAAGATATAAGGCTCCAGAAAAGGGAACACCCTCTTTGGCAACTGGTAGGCTTTGGATGTTATGTTGAATCCTATGAGGAACGCATTACTTTCCTTGGCTTTCCTCAAAAGCTGAGTGATGTCTTTAGATATCCAGGATGCCACATTTCGATGAGGTTTGGCTACATCTACTGATAGGTGACCCAGGAGTTGACTTTGGTTTGGGTTGGAATTGAGGATCCATGCAGAGAGATCGATCTGAATGTGTTTCCTCTGCTCAGGATGAAAGCATCCTTGGGACAGCGAACAACTCAGGCTGGCATTGACTAGCTCTTCAATTCTGAAATACAGTGTAGCAGACAGGATGCTTTCAGACTTGGTTAAAGAAGTCATATTAAAAATATGCAGTCCTTTGCCATCAAGTTTTCCTAGAAAGGAAACAAAAAGGAGTAAATGAAAGTTAACAGAGCCCCTACTTTATACATATTAAAAATTCGTTCAAAATAAAACAAGGCTCTAAACATAAGAGCTAAAAACTATAAAATTTTTAGAAGAAAACATAAGGATAGTATCTTCATGATCTTTGATTTGCCAGTGAATTCTTAGATGAGAACAAAAGTGAAAGTAACAAAAGGATAAAAAGATACATCAATAAAAGATAAATGAATACTTTTTAAAAGTCACCCAAATTAAAAATGGTTGTATGTCAAAGGACACTGTGCAGAAAGTAAAAACACAATCTACAGAAGGTCAGAAAATATTTGTTAATCACTATCTCTGATAGATGTATTATCTAGAATACAGCACATGGATCATATACAGAGAAAGAAACCAATAAAATATGGACAAAGGATTTGAGTAGACACAGCTCCAAAGAAAATAAACTAATGTCCAAGATGCACATGAACAGGTACTCAGAATCTGTCATGAGGGCAAGCTATGAAACCACTGTGCTACATTACTGGACACAGACTAGGAGGGGTATAATTAACTAACCAAAACACCCAAGTGCAAGAAGTCTATGGGGATGTGGAGAAACTGGAGGACTCACCCTGCTTTTGGGAAAGTAAAATTATTTGGCTGTTGCGCAAAATTTAAGTTGTTTCCTAAATAGTTAAGGATAGAGCTTTCATATGATCAAGCAATCCTGTCCCTTTGCTTATATATTCCTAAACCTGAAAACAGGCACTCCAAGAAGTATTTGTTAATAGTGGCACTATTTACAGTATCCCAGAGCTCAGAACAGTTCAAATGACTATGAACAGATGAATAGAGAAGCAAATTGTGGTGTAGTTACAAATGAGCTAATATTGTAGTGAAAATGAATTAATGCTAATGCATGTTACAATGTAAATGTATCTTGAAAACAATATGCTAAAGAACTCACATATAAAGGGTCCATATTGTTTGACTGCATTTACATAAGCAGTTAAATCCATAGAGACAAATGCACCTCCAGGGCTACCACAGCCCACAGGCAAGAGTTTCCCCTCACACAGAAGCTCCTTCATGGTTATGGGATCTTACTTTGGAATAGTGGATATATTTTTTGAGCTAGATAGACTTGGTAAATGAACCACATTATGAAGATATTAATTCTCAATGTAAAACAAAATAGTTCATTTCAGATTATGCAGATTTACATCAATTTTAAAAAGTACAAGATAAAAAAAATGATTCAGGCCTAAGTGCTTGCCTGGCAAATGCAAGGCCCTGAGTTTGATCACTGGTACTGGAGGTGGGGAGAGGGCAATTCTGAAGTCTGGAGACTGTGAAGATCTAGTTCTACAAACTTGACAAATTAATGTAAAAGCCTCTAATATAAGGCTTATAGAATTAGACTTCCCTTGGTTTATCCTCGCTTAGGCAATTACAGCTCTGCAACTGTGGACAAACTGATGTTTTCATTGGTAAAGTGGAGATAATATCTAATTCTCATGTCTTCAAAGTGCAGTTTAAGGTTTGACATTGCATAAATTTAAGTTACACTTCTAAACCAAGCATGATGGTTCACCTACTATCCCAGTGATCTGAGAGGCTGAGGCAGGAGGATCACATGGTCAAGTCCAGCCTGCGAACCTTAGCAAGACCCTGTCTCCAAAAAAGGAAGTGGGTATGGTGAAGTAACTCAATGTAAAGGCCTTGGGTACATTTCTTAGTATTAAAAATCACCCAGGTCTTTTAATTGTAATTCCTAGTTCTTCAAATCTAGAAATGAGTGGCAGTGAGAGGGGTACACTGGTTAGGAAGGCAACAAGCTGGATTGTTCTCTCAAGATGATCTATGGAGCTACTTGTCAGCCTAAAGCAAGAGCTCCATCTAGGACCACCGATCCAGCGATGTGTGAGCAGAGCCCAAGTCCTCCTCCTCCACGCACTTGTCCCACAGACATATTTGTTTCCGAAACACACGCAATCGTGAAATTATGCTCCTGATCAAAAACATGTTTCAGTAAAAATAAAACATTCTTAGGAAGACGCAGAAACTTAAAATGAGTTCACTCAGTCCCCAAGCACAGAAGTGCAATGGGAAACATATTTTGCTCATTTTTAACATTGTGTGAAGCAAAAGGAGGAAACTGCCATTTGTGCACATTTGTATAAGCCATGACACCAGGGTAATATTTTACAGACCTTTCTAACAAAGCCATGGCACTGGGGTTGTTTCAGACTCTGGCCTTAATTCATCCCAGTCACCACAGCGTATACTTTTACCAAAACTTCAGGCAGCAGATGGAAGTTCAAAATGGAAAGAAGAAAAGTCACTCTGTTCTATGTATGTGGCAAGGAATGGTTGCCACACAAACAGACTGTAGGGGAATCAATGGACACTGGGGGCTGGGACACCAGGGTCTCACCCCGTACACTAATCCTGCCCCTTTCCTCCACACTGTGCTTCCAAATGATTGCCCTTCAAATACACTTCCATGGCTCTGTGACTTACTGTCAGTTCACTCGAACCCCTGTGTCTAATGTCCAACACATTCTCATAAAAAGTCTCATAATGCGTCATACTGAGTTCCTTGATTATTCTCATTTTAGTTCTGTGCATTAGATGGGAACCAATGCCTTATGATCCAGTCCTAGGTCCACTGTGCCCAGCAGTGGCCCTCAGACAAACAATCTAAGCATTCAAAACGCAGGGCACGTCTCTGTGAAATGAACCCAGCAGTGCCAGCTGCGAAGCTATTGTGAGGACCAACTAAACGGATGCAGGTAAAGCTCACACTACACACACAAGCCTCACTGATATTGCCTAACTAGAGGTGCCCCTGCAGTGTGATGGGGACCAGCCAGGGATGCTTAGCTCGATATTTCCTGAAGTAGGAAACCCACATGGCAGCTCAAAACCTGATACAAAAAACTGTAATGCAGGTTAATATATTTCATATTGAATATGTGTAGAAATGATTATATAGGAATCTAAGAGATTTCAGTTATTAAAATTAGTTTCACTTGTTCCTTGTCATATTCTAAATGTAGCTAAAATGTTTAAATTATGTATGTGGCTCCTATTTGTGGCTCACATGAAATCTCCATTGGACGGTGGTGGTCTACGACAACCACTGGTATCATAGTCATAGGGTGCAAAAGGAAAATTTCTAAAAGCATTTCTAATGCAGTAAAAAAATAAAGTTAGGATCTCCTTCAATAGGAATATGAAGAATAAAGAGTGAACTGGGCAATGAACTTCTTGAAATTCAAGTTTTTGTCTTTATGACATATTTTAGATAAAGACAGTCCTGGTGGTTATGTTTTACATTTTGTCTCCAACAAAGGCAGAGAACAAAGCACAAGAAAATATTTCACTTTAGCAAATACGAACGCAGGTATGTGGGCTGTTGGTCCCTAGGCTGCTTCTCTGGTGTAACTGGGGTTCTGTGATGATGGTAAAACCAGCTGTCAAAGGTGTGAAGGAGGCTGGAGTACACAAAGCAGCCATTGACTTTTCCCAGATAAGGAACACAGGGACACACAAAGAAGGGATGACCTTTGAATCAGACTTCAAAGATGAAGGGCAGGGCTAGAAGGAACATACTATAGCACGAAGTAATGCCACGTGTCTGCGCACTTTTGCATAAGAATTACTGGCAATGTTCTGAGTAGAAATTAGAAAGCCATTTCGAATCCTACCAGTTATTCAAAGTCCTAGGGGGGCAGTCACTCACAGTTGGAGTCTAACCATGAGTGTTCTATCACACACAGCACTTGATGACTTCGCTCTTGCCATTTATGCCCAAGGTTGGGAACATATTATCCCTACCTGTCTGTTCTAGATCCTTCCTGTCCTTTTTTAAAACAGTAAGCTTGAACTCTCCATCCTTTCATAAGTCATTCCTTGACTTCTCTAACTCATACTTTGCTTTTACCCTCTCTGATTTTATAGAAGTTACTGTCTCTTTTTTCCCCAAAGCAAGCCAACAAATACTGACTCGTTGTTAACATGGACAAGATAGTACAAAGAGACCTGCATGGAGTTAAACACATGAGCCTTAATCAGTAATTAAGAATGAGACAAACACCTCCCTGCATGAAGAAGCACATAATAATTCCTGTTCAACTGCTTTCATGCCTTTTCATCTTGTAGATTTTATATTAATTTAATTTTTCAAATGAGTGTCCTCCCATACCTTATTGGCATTCCACGTCAGGTCTCTCTTGCTTCCCCAGATTTATCTACACATGCAGATATTTAAGTCTATTAGTGAATGAAAAATACCTTAATTGAGGTTCACTTTTTCTGCTATCCTAAAGTAGTCAGGTACTTACCTATTTGCAATTATAAAGTCAGAAATCTGAGGCATAATTTCTTATTTTTAAAAATTTAATATAATATTTAAAATGGCCTTATCAGATTACAAGATATAGCATATGAATTTTTAAGGTGTGGAAGTCTTTAGTAGGAAACACTGTGTGCCACACCAGTGTAATCTATCCAGAGCACCTTGGAATATTTTTGTTCTCATTTTAACTATTTTGTTAAAGCAAGAAAAGAGCAATGAGGAAATAAATAAGATATTGAGGAGTGTTCAAACTATCTTTTAAGTTTGAGTTGAATAAAAAAGAACATATTCCTTGCAGGAAGGAAAAGGAAGGTTTAGCAATGACACGAGAATAATTTCCAAATATTTGAGGGCTGAAGGACAATAAAGGATTTTCTTTTCGGTGTCAAAGGGGACCTAAAGGCGAATGATAGAATGGGGACTGAATTGAGGACAGTACACGTCATGAATTTCTGACAGATTTAACCAGACGCAGATACGGACCTGTGAAAACTGGCCATAAGTCAAGGCGAAGGAGGATTTCCTTATGATAGGGTAAGGTGTGGAAGGCGGCACTGCAGAAACTCGCAGATCCCTTGCAATGAACTACAATGGGCTCTGGTTCCTTCCAGCTCTTCCCGAAGTTTTTGATGGGAAGTTATAACT